GGAAGAGAATGAGAGAAAGAGGAGATAGAGAGAGAAAGAGAAGAAATGGAGACAGAATGAAAGTGGAAAGGAAGTGGGAAAGAAAAAAAAGGAAGAGAAGGAGGAGAGAGAGAAAGGAAAAAGATGGAGACAGGGTGAAAGCGAAGAGAAAGAGGTAAAGAAGGGAGATTGGTGAAGGGAGAGAGAAGCAGAGAGAGAGAGAGAGAGAGAGAATGAGGAGAGAGGACAGATTGAAAGAAGAAAGAGAAAAGAAGGAGAATGAGATAAAGGATTGAGACAGGGATAGAAGAAGAGCAAGGAGAAAGAGGAAAGATAGAAATGGAGAGAAAGAAGAAAAAAAAGAAGTGGGGAAGCATCATTAGAAAAATAAACGAAAATAAAAATATGAGACAGAAAGAGAGAAAGAGGAATAGGAAACAAGGAGAAAGAGAAAAGGGAAGAAATAAGAGCTTCTGGAAATGCGAAGGAGGAGGTAGGGAAGGAGGGAAACAGAAAAGGAATAAAGAGGGGGAAGGAAATAGGAAACGCGGTTGGAAATATGATAAGGAAGAGGGAGAGACAGAAGAATAAAAATAGGAGAGAGGGAAGGGCTCTCTCTCTCTCTCTCTCTCTCTCTCTCTCTCTCTCTCTCTCTCTCTCTCTCTCTCTCTCTCTCTCTCTCTCTCTCTCTCTCTCTTCTCTCTCTCTCTCTCTCTCTCTCTCTCTCTCTCTTTCTCTCTCTCTCCTCTCTACGCTTCACCCTCATTTTATCATCTGTTCTTTTCTTCTTCTTCCCCCTTTTTGCCTCTCTCATCAACCTCCCCCCCTCCTACCAGCCTCCCCCCAACTCTCTAAATCTTACTACATTAATCTCTTCCTCCCCCCCCCCTCTTCCCCACCCCACCCCCCTTCATTAAAATTGAAGGGGTGAGTGAGGGATGGATATGGAGGGGCGAGGAGGGGGGAGGGGGAGGGGGGGGGGGGGGGAGAGAAGGACTAGTCATCATACGGTCACGCACACTCTCCTCCCCACCCACCTCCTTCCCCTCCCCTCCCCTCCTTCCCCTACACTTCCTTTATCCCATTTACCCCTTCCCTACCCCCCTATCCCCTCCTACCCCCTCCCCTCCCTCCTTCGTGTTCCAAGCCGTGTCATAATTTTAAAGACATTTTTTTTTTTTTGGGGGGGTGTAGGGGGAGGTGTAGGGGGGGGGTGGAGATGTGTTTTTGCTTTGTTTTTGTCTTTTGTTTTTCTCTCTTTTTTCTTTAATTTTTTTGTTCCTCTTCTGCAACCCTTCTCCTTTCTTTCTTTCTTCTTTTCTTTCGTCCATTCTGATGAAAGATCTTACTGATGATATAAACAATTATAATTATTCAAAGAACGGTGATAATGACGATAACTACAACAAATAGGTACAACGTGACTAAACCGATGTATTTAAAACCATACATTTATACATCATACATTTCTAAATTACTATTTTCATCATTCTTACTTACATTTCTAAATTACTATCCTGATCCTTCTTACTTACATTTCAAAATTACTTTCTTGATAATTCCTACTTACTTTTCTAAATTACTATCTTTATAATTGATAATTACATTTCTAAATAACTATCTTGATCCTTCCTATTTACATTTCTAAATTACTATCTATCTTAATAATTCCTACTTACAATTCTAAATTATCATACTTACAATTTGAAATTACTTTCTTGATCATTCCTACTTACACTTCTAAATCTCTATCTTTATAATTCCTACTTACACTTCGAAATTACTCTCTTGATAATTCCTACTTACAATTTGAAATTACTATCCTGATCCTCCCTACTTACATTTCTAAATCACTCTCTTTATAATTCCTACTAACATTTCTAAATTACTTTCTTTATAATTGTTACTTACATTTCTAAATCACTCTCTTGATAATTCCTACTAACATTTTTAAATCACTCTCTTTATAATTGTTACTTACATTTCTAGATTACTCTCTTGATAATTCCTACTTACAATTTGAAATTATTATCATGATCAATCCTACTTACAACATACAGCCTCTTGCATGGATAGATACAACAGTACATACACGCATGAATATATTTATACATTCATTCATCCATCCGTCTATCTGTCTATCCAAATATTCACCTTTTTATCTATCTGTCTATTCCTCCATTCATCTATCCATCTATTCATATATCCATACATCTATCTATCTTTCTATCTATTTGTTTATCTGTCTATTTATTTATCCGTCTATCCATCTATCCATCCATACTATTCCTTCATATGTATATACTTCTATATACTTGTTTGTTTGTCTGTCTGTCTGTCTGTCTGTCTGTCTGTCTGTCTGTCTGTCTCGTCGTCCTCCTCTCTCTCTCTCTCTCTGTCTTTTTTTTTTTTTTTTTTTCAAAAGCACTAAAAACAAACATGAAACTCAAAACCCAAGTTCTTTCCCCACTGAGTGAGTGCGTGCGCGCGAGAGAGCGAGGATGCCCCCCCCCCCAACTCCACCCCAAACACTACCTACCCCCTCCCCCTCCCAACCCCTTATGACTTCCTTACCTTCCCCTTCCACCCACCCCTTCCCTCCCCCTCTTCCACCCCCACCCCCTCCCCTCCCCTCCCCTTCTTCCTACCCCCTCCCCTCCCCTCCCCTCTTCCACCCCCAGCCCCTCCCTCTCTTACCCTCCCCCCTCTCCCCTCCCCCTCTATCCCCTCGTCTCTGGGGAAAGGAGGGGGGAGAGGAGGGAGGAAGAGAGGGGGGGGTGCAATACGCTCCACCGGGGGAAACTTCACTGAGGGAAAGTTTGCGACGTGTGGAGAGAGGGGAAAGGAAGATGGGGGGGGGAGGAGGGGGGAGAGTAGGGGGAGGGGGAGGGGAAACTTGGCTCAATTTTTTTTTTTTTTTCGTCGTTTTTTTTTTTTTTTTTTTTTTTTTTTTTTTTTTGTTTTCTTCTTAGTTTTCTTTTCTTTCCTCTTCTTCTTCCTCTTTTGCTGTTGTTGTTGTCGTTTGCTCTTGTTTCTCCTTTTCTTTATCATCTTGTTGATTTATTCCTTTTTTTCTCTCTCTCTCCTTCTATTTCTTCTCTCTCTGTCTATGTCTCTCTCACTCTCTCCACACATCTACACACACACATAAACACACAAACGCATATCTGTCTATCTATCTATTTATCTATCCCTCTATCTATCTATCTATCTTTTTATCTATCAATCAATCTATCTAACCATCTATCCATCAGTCAATCTATCCACCTATCCACCTACCTATCTGCCTCCCTATCTATCCACAAATCCATCCATACACTCAGTCCATTAACATACACAAGACCAATCTGACGAGAAGGAATGTAGACACACCCATCCCACACTCGCCACGCGTCACGCCCCCAAACGTTTTCCTGCAAGACCAATCCAAAAAGAAAATTGCAGACACACCCAACCCACACTCGCCACGCCCCCAAACGTCACGCCCCCAAACGTTTTTCTGCAGCTCCGGGTAACGTTTTAAAGGACAGCGCTGTGCTATTGAAACGTTTCAAATGTCCCATCTGTCTGTGTGTTTCTTTGTCTTTCTATTTACTAGCCTATCTGTCTATCTATCTATCTATTTACCAGCCTGTCTGTCTATTTATCAATCTATTTACCATCCTGTCTGTCTATCTATCTATCTATTTACCAGCCTGTCTGTCTATCTATCTATCTATTTACCAGCCTGTTTGTCTGTCTATCTGTCTATATGTTTATCTCTCGCTCTCTCTCTATTAATCTCTCTATCTCTATCCATCTATCTGTAAATCCATCTAATATCTACTTCCTATCTGTCTGTATGTTTCTCACTTTATCTATCTATTCATCAGTCTATCTGTCTTTCTGTCTGTCTGTCTATATGTTTAGCTATCTATCTATCTATCCATCTATCTGTCTATCCACATAATATCTGACCCTCTGAAATAAGCAATCTTTAGGGATGGCTTTTAACTTCAGGATAAGAATTATAAAAAGATGCATAAAAAAACAGAGAGAAAATGATTATTGTGACGTAAATTATTAAATAAAAGAATAAAATTTGAAAAAAATGAAAGAAATTAATGGATATGTAATTAAATCAATGGTTATCAACTTTTTTTCATTCTGTGACCCCGACCAAAATGGAATAATTTCCATTGCCCAGTTCAAAGTCAGTTTTTGATTCAGTTATAATATTCCTGCATATGTATGACCCTCTATATACTTTTTTATGTTCTTTCATTCTTCTTTATATTTTCTTTTCTTTAATAAAAATCACTTATAAACAAAACATGAAACTCAAAAGATTGTAAAGGTGCCAGTAGCTATAGGACAAGAATATTTAATAAAAAGATTCTTATATATTCTTATATATATATATATACGTGAGAGAGAATTATATGTGCGGTATCATTTTTCGTGTGTTTGCGTGTGTTTACGAGCATTTTCGGTTGTTTGGGGCGGGGGGGGGGGTGGCTTTTGTTTATATTGTGTGTTTTTGTGTTTAGAAGTTGAGTACAGTGCAAATCTGTACATTGGCGAATTTAAACCGCATTAAAATAGTTAGGAAGAGTATTACTTACGGATCCGAATACTGTGCGTGTGTAATGTGTGTGTGTGTGTGTGTATGTGTATGTGTGTGTGTGTATGTGTGTGTGGTGTGTGTGGTGGTGTGTGTGTGTGTGTGTGTGTGTGTGTGTGTGTGTGTGTGTGTGTGGTGTGTGTGTGTGTGTGTGTGTGTGTGTGTGTGTGTGTGTGTGTGGTGTGTGTGTGTGTGTGTGTGTGCGTGTTGTGTGTGTGTGTGCGTGTGTGTGTGTGTATGTGTGCGCGTGCGTGTATATACGTGCGTGCGTACGTGCTTGCGTGCCTGCTTTTGCGTGCGAGTGAATTTATATACAAGCGTACATGTCGTGTACTTCTAAACAAAGAAACCCCACCACTTCTCACTCCACAATAAACTCCCGCAATCCGAGCCTTGCAATCAGGAACGAGCTGTCCCGATGGCGCTCGAGAGGCCAGCCAAGCGAAGACAATCATTTATCATCCATCATAGAGGATCTGAAACCCTCTTGTGGCGTTGGATCGCCTGCCTTAATGGGATCCAACACCGGTTCGGTCTCCGTGGCTGATCTTTATTTTGGTTTCGGTGTCTTATTGTGATTTGTTTTTTATTTATTTATCTTTTATTATAATAATTTAGATTTAGTGATTTAGATAAAGAGTAATGTTAATAATGCTATTAAAATGATAAAAAAATAGTGATATTACTCATAAAGTTGATGATGATAATAACAGTGATAATGATGATAATAATAAAACATTAATGAGAAGATAAATGATGATGATAGCATTAAGAGTTAAAATGATAATAAGGAAGATTTAAATAATAATGGTATCGTAACTATCGTTAAATAATAGGATAGATAGAAAGAAAGAAACTAGAACTAAAAAAAAAATAAAATAGAGATAAAATAGGAATAGAAATAGAAATAAAAAAGATAGGAAAAAAGAGAGAAAGATAGAAAAGAAGATGAATAAATAAATAGATAACAGAAATAGACAGACAAAGATAGCAAAAGAGAAAAAGAGAGAGGTGGAGGATAGAAGAGAAGAGAGAGAGATAGAGGAGAGAGAGAAGAAGAGAGAGAGAGAGAGAGAGAGAGAGAAGAAGAGAGAAAGGAGAGAGAGAGATGAGAGAGAGGAGAAAGAGAAAGAGAAAGAAGGAAGGAGGAGAGAGAGAAGAGAAGAAGAGAGAAAACAAAACAGAGAACGCAAACACCCATTGCCCTCTAAAAGAGTATGAAAAAAGGAAAGAAAGAAAGGAGAGAAAGAAAAGAAAAGAAAAAGAAAATGCAAATATAATCGCCAATCCATTACCTTCCCTTCCTTAAAAAAAAGAAAAAAAATGTCATTGCTACTTCTTTTTGATCCCATTCGTCTTCTAATTCTTTTTTAAATCTCTATTTATTTAATTTTTTATTAATTTGAGATGGCTGGAATGCTATTATCTTTATAACATATTTTTTATATGTATATTTTGTGACGTATCTTTAAGACTCTTCCTATCAAAATCTTTTATGTACTTGTTCTTATTTTTTTTTTAATAAGATTTTTTTTTCTTTAATATATTGCTCATCCATTGACTTAATTATTTGCACTATATCCTTCGATTCTAAAATTTAAAAAAAGAATAATATGACATTTTTGCTTAACAGAAAATAACGAAAAAATAACAGATTATTCTTATTTTTTTCTCTCTTTCTTTCTCTCACTCTCCTTTTCTCTTTTTTTCTATCTATCCCTCTCTTTATCTCAGATCTCTCTATCTCTCTCTCGCTCCTATCTCCAGCAGGTAGATTTCGTGAGAGGAAAAAGACGGTGATAAAGTACATTTTCCTTTATCATGATAATTTGATCAAACTTTTTTTTTCTTCTTTTTTAATAAAATGCTTAATTTCGTTGCTTTTTTGCACTTAATAAAAGAGACAGACTGGGGCTCTCATTGGCCGTTGTCAGATGCTTCGCTGGCTAAGAAGTGACAAATATACAAACCCCAAAAATATAGCTTTTTGTTAGGTTACATATTTCATTGTTGAAAATATAGTTAAGATTAGCACACATGCACATACATACACACGCAAATACGCACGCGCACAAGCACACACACATACACACGCACAAGCACACACACACACACACCATATGTATACACACGTGCAAACGCACACACGCACGCACAAAAGCACATACACACACACCACCACATGTATACAAACGCGCAGACGCACACACACACGCACACACATACACACACATACTACATATATACACACGCACAAACACACACACACACACACACACACATGTAAACATACATGCAAACGCACACACACACGCACAGCACACACACACACACACACACACACACCAGATGTATACACACGCGCAGACGCACACACACACACGCACACACATACACACACATACCACATATATACACACGCACAAAAGCACACACACACACCACATGTATACATACATGCAAAACACACACGCGCAAACGCACACACGCAGACGCACACGCACACACATACACACCCATACCACATATACATATATACATATTGCTTGCTTCGACTGTATGGCTGTTCAAAGGCTAGCTTTTCTTTTTAACCGAGAGACTGAAGACAATAAAGTAGTCTTTCCGCTTCTTGCTTTGCTCTTTCTTCTCTCTCTCTCTCGCTCTTTCTTTCTCTTTCCTTCTTCTCTCTCTCTCTCTCTCTGTCTTTCTTTCTCTTTCTCTCTCTCTCTCTTTCTCTCCCCCTACCTCTTTCTTTTTTCTTCTGTCTATACATCTATCATTTTTGTTTCCTTTTTTTCTATACATTCTTTTCCGAAGAGAACCAACAAGACAGTCATAATCTTCTATGACGTCATGAACTTTTATGACGTCATGATCTGTGACGTCATGATCTTATCGCTTCCCGCCTTTTTTTGTTTTGTTTTTTTCTAATAGTTCTCAATCTAGATTTCATTTAGGATCTTATATCTCTCAAAATATGTTTTCTAGTCCATTTACCTATCAATATTAGTAGTGGTGAAATCAACAGTATTCATTTTATCATCATTATCAAAATCATAATCAATATTACTAATTGCATCATTATCATTATCAACATTAACATAATTATTTCCATGATTATCATTATCAACATTAACATAATTATTTACATGATTATCATTATCAACATTAACATAATTATTTCCATGATTATCATTATCACAATTATTATCATTGCTATTACTGTTATCATCTACATTGCTATTACATTAATTAATATGAGTATCATTCTCATCATCACCATTATCAATTATCATCTCACCATCAAAATTATTCTTTATTGCTATTGATATCATTTCTGAAATTACTTACATTACTCGAATTATTAGCATTATTAATTTCCCTTTATCTGGATTTAAATATCATCATAATAAACTATCAAGTCCAATACTCATCTTTTCATATCATAATATTATTTAGTTATTAAGTTAATTCATATTTCAAGTATAAAGGTCTAATTCTACAAGCATATTATGTGTGAATTTATATATATGTATATATATGTATATATATGTATATATATGTATATATATATATATATATATATATATAATATATATATATATATATATATATATATATATAAATATATATA